TGGTTTGGTTTTAGACTTAGTGAATGTAAAGTATATATGTAATAGCCAGGTGGTGTTGCCTAGTGGGTTGTCGCTATAAGGATCAAGCTTGTCTATTGTAATAAAGAATGAGACTTCGTTTTTTATGTTTGCCTTTGACTTCTTTTTTTTTTTTTTTTTTTTTTTGGAGTCAGCGTCTCACTCTGTTGCCTAGGCTGTAGTACGCAATCATGGCCACCGAAGCCTCAACATGCTGGGCTCAGGTGACCCTTCCACCTCAACCTTTCAAGTAGCTGGAGCCACAGGCATGTGCTACCACACCCAGCTTATTTTTTGATTTATTGTAGAGGTGAGGTCTCATCAAGTTGCCCAGGCTGGTCACGGACCCCTGAGCTCAGGCAATCCTCTCACCTTATCCTCCCAAAGTGCTGGGATTAAGGCTTGAGCCACCGCACCTGGCCTGACTCACCTTCCTTCTGCTTTGGCCCCATCTCTATACAGGCTGATAAGAAGGCTCCTCAAGTTCACCTCTTTCTCTTTTGGCATCCATGGGAAATTTATATCTTCCCTGCTCAGAATCTTTCTCCCAGCCCCATCTTTTAGTCATGATAAGGCCAAACCTACTCCCTCTGTTTTGCCCAAGCCAATCCAGACCTACTTGTGCTGCCCAGGTCTTCCTAGGAGTTCCCCTTGTGAGTAATACTTTCTCTTAGATTCTCTTGGTGTGTAGAGTGTTATCAGACTTGACATCTGAATGAAATTTTGGGTAGCAGTTCCTTCTGCTTTTACAAAAGGACAAAACAACATCAATATAAGCTCAAGAATCATGACTGGGCGTGGTGGCTCATGCCTGTAATCCCAGCACTTGGGAGGCAGAGACGAGAGGATTGCCTGAGCCCAGGGGTTCGAGACCAGCCTGGGCAACTTAGTGAGACCTCATCTCTACAATTAAAATAAAAAATTAGCTGGGCATGGTGGCTTGTGCCTGAGCTCATCAGGTCAAGGCTGCGGTGACCGTGAGTGTGCCACTGCACTCCATCCTGGGTGACAGTGAGAGTCAAAAACAAAACAAGGCCAGACGCAGTGGCTCAAGCACTTTGGGAGGATAAGGCGAGAGGATTGCCTGAGCCCAGGAGTTCAAGACCAGCCTGGGCAACTTGGTGAGACCTTGTCTCTACAATAAATCAAAAAATTAGCCAGGCATAGTAGTGTGCACCTGTAGTTCCAGCTAGGTGGAAGACTAAGGTGGAAGGATTGTCTGATCCCAGCGGGTTGACACTGGGGTGACCATGAATATACTACTGCACTCTAGCCTGGGCGATGGAGTGAGACTCTGACTCAGAAAAAAAAAAAAAAGAATCATATCTGTGCTAGATAAATACAGATTTGGAACCTCCAGATGTGAATGAAAGATAGCAAAGAGCTATCATGACATATTCAACTCTGTTTGGAAGCTGCCCCATGCATTGAGCTGAGAAGGACTAAGACTCAGCAGGAAAAGAGTTTTGTGTTGATGATGTCTGCTTTAAGCATGAGAGTTAGAAGTAATGGTATGAATGTTGTGTATTTCTTCCCTAAACTAGAAGATCTCAAATTTCCTTCAACATACTAACTTTGCATTAAGCCAAATTAATGGCAGATAGTTGAGTAGTCTAGTCAAACTACCCTAACTAAGGTAAAAGTTTTTGTTGACAGCTAGTTAACTTTTTAATTATTGTAAGTTATTATATAAGTCATTGACAATATATTCCCCTTTTATTAATTGAAATTAGAGACATTTTTGTTCTTATTATTCTCAGAACAGGTAGATTTTTTGCTAAAACAGTGAATTGGGGGCAAGTTTTTGAGCATGGGAGATTTATTAAGAAATGTTAAAGTTGCAGATTTATTTTATGTTTTGTTCTTTTCCTTTAAAGTAGCAATTTTAAAACTTCAAAAACTTCCTAAAGTTGGATACATTGCTTTTTATAATGTTCTTCAAATCTTGATAGTTTACTTGTGAGAAACTGAGACTAGTAGATGTAAAATATTAAATAGTTCCAACAAAATGCACAAAATTTGAAAACTTAGGTTTTTGGGTTTTTTTAGGGCAGTTATAAACCTGGTTTACTTGTGGTCAACAACTCTTAACACAAGTGACTCTGACTCTAAAGCTGCTTATTCTGTACAGATGAATCAATTAGGAATGTCTTGTCCTGAATTGGCTTAATAATAGAGTGAACTTCTTGGTTTACTTAACTATGTAGTCCTCCATGACATAGGGGAATAGAATTTTCCCCTCCCTGGGGCTGAGTGATGGGACGCCAGTAAAAAATATTTTTTTGTAAATATTTTCCCATTCTGTAGGTTGTCTGTTTACTCTGTTGATTGTTTCTATTGCTGTGCAGAAGCTTTTCCTAAGTCTCATTTGTCTATTTTTATTCTTGTGTTTGCTTTTGAGAACTTGGTCATAAATTATTTGCCGAGGCCAATGTCCAGAAGAGTTTTTTCCTAGGTTTTATTCTAGGATTTCTATAGTTTTAGGTTTTACATTTAGATCTTTACATTTAGATCTGAGTTGACTTTTTGTATGTGGTGAGAGGTATTGGTCCAGTTTCATTCTTTTGTATATGGCTATCTAATTTTCCAGCACCATTTATCATCATTTCCCCACTATACATTTTTGTTGCCTTTGTGAAAGATCAGTTGGTTGTAGATATGTGGCCTTATTTCTGGGTTCTCTATTTTGTCCCATTGATATCTGTGTTTGTTTTTATACCAGCACCATGCTGTTTTGGTTAATATAGCCTTGTAGTATAATTTTAAAAGTCAGGTAGTGTGATACCTCCAGCTTTGTTCTTTTTGTTCAAAATTGCTTTGGCTATTCTAGCTTTTTGCTGTTGTTCCATATGAATTTTTTGATTGTTTCTTCTAATTCTGTGAAAAATGACATTGGTAATTTGATAGGGATTGCATTGAATCTATAGATTGCTTTGCGCAATATGGTCATTTTTAACAATATTCATTCTTCCAGTCCATGGGCATGGTATGTTTTTTAATTTGTTTGTATCATCTACAATTTCTTTCAGAAGCAGAAAGCCAAATACCACATATTCTCACTTATCAGTGAAAGCTAAACAATAAGAAAATGACTGACGGTACTGGGAAACTATGGGGGGGGGAGGGGGATGGGATTAACAGTAGCAAATATCTGTCTGGGGATGGGAAAACACCTCTTATCAACAGGGTGCCTGAATGAAACGTAATTGTATACCTAACCCTTAACTGTACCCCACAAAACCATAATAAAAAATATTGATTAATAATAAAGAAAGAAAGAAAGCTAAACAATGGATACACGTGGACATAGAGAGTAGAATAATAGACACTGGAAACTACAAAAAGGGGAGGTTAAGAGGAAAAATTACCTTTGGGTATAATGTTCATGATTTGGGGGATGGGTCCACTAAAAACCCAGCCTTCACCACTACACAATGTTTGTGTAAGTAACGTATACTTGTACCCCATAAATATGAGGAGAGACCACTCAGAAAGGGAATTTATTTATAAAGAAACTGTATTTATTTTTACATGTTTAAACTTCAGTCACCTTCAAATTACTCTTTATTTGATGCAATACACCTATCAAGACACTTTTTTCCCTGCTCAAAACAGTTTGTGAACTTGTCAATTTTGGTGCCTTTTAGTACTTCTGCTGTTTTTGTTCCACCTCTTCCTCACTGGCAAAACATTTTCCTTTGAAGACTGTTTTCATACAAGAAACAGAAAAGCCACCTGGGGTGAGATTGCGTGAATAGGGATGGGGGGGCATGGGGATGGTGCCATTTTTGTTCAAAACTGCTGAACACTCAGTGTGGGGTAGGCAAGCACACTCATAAATCACTCATCATGAAATGGGCAAACACACTGAAAGAATCTAAAGAAACCAAATTCACTGAAGCCGAATGCAGCCTCTCACAACAATGCTAGCTGGTACACAGATGCCAATGGGTTCCTAGAATACTTACCTAGTTTGAGAAGCCTGTACTGTAAGGGGCCTGCCTTCCAAAAAATAATTCCATTTTATGGGGTCCTCCCTCATATATCTTTAAACTGTTCAATTTCCTAAAAAATGTTTTCTTAATTTGATGCATTTCTCAGTCATTTGGCTATTTAGGTGGGTTGTTAATCTATCCTATGCCTACCTGTTCAGGAAAATAATTAGAGAGAGTGGCACTGGGGCAGCCGGCACACTTGTTAACTGGCTGATAAGGATGCATGAAGTTATCTATGGGCAAGTAGACACCTTGAGCTTGAGCTGTTTGTCCAGGATGCAGAGGTTTGACTGCCAGATGAGGGGCCTCAGGAGCCCAGTCTGAAGTAAACTACTGGTGGTGGGAGCTCCTGATAGTGATGGTGGTGGAGTTTGGGGATCAAGGTGAAGAGGTAGAGCTGGAGCTCAGTATCCCAGATCAGGGTTCTAGGAGAAGCCAATGATGAGGCCCCTCAGGAATCTCTGAAGAACTCACACATAAGTCCTGAGAGACAGCCAGGGCTTACCACTCAGAAGGCATTAATAGTCAGTACTGGCTACAGAAAGAATGACAACCTATTGGATAAGGAGACCTTTGTTCCTCTCCTTCCATCAAACCCTATCTCTTGAGAGGCTAAGTTCATAGCTTATGTAGCATCATCTAATGCTGAATTGGAAAGTACTAGAGATTTAGAACTTTCTTGTTTAAAATGTCATCAATTCCCCTTACCATCATTCAGTTAACTGGTTCTTTCTAAAGGAAAGAAGCACTTATTTTGGTGAGTAATGAAGTAAATTTTGAAGAAAGAAAAAGTATTGACAATTTGGGTTAATCAACATTGGATTAATTTTAATCACTGCTAGTTAATGTCTGTTATTTTTTCCCAAAGAAATTCTTAAGTTCTTCCTTGTAGCTTTAAATCATCCCAGATTAGAATCTAATTGATTTCTTAAAAACATAACCTATTTTCCTGCTTTGCTCTCAATTATAGTCATATTTTTGATTTAGAATAAAGGAACATGAAGAAGAAATAGAAAGGAAGAAAAAACATGAAGTAAAAGATGCTGAGGAAATAAAACGACAGAATTTATTATATGAAATAGAAATGAGAAAAAAATTGGAAAAGAAAAAAGAAGAGATACATGAAAGCAGGAGGCTGTTTTTTGTAAGTTGAAAATACAAAAGTTCAAAAGATGTACAGAGTCAAATGCCTAACCTTTTTATTGATACATAATATTTGTATATATTTATGGGGTACATGTGGTATTTTTATATATGCATACAATGTGTAATGATCAAATTAGGGTATTTAGGTTACCTGTCATCTCAAACATTTATCATTTGTTTCTCTTGGGTGTTGGGAGCCGGCTGTGGAGAGCTACCTGAGCGTTAGGGATACAGGCAGGCTGCAGACCCTGAGACCGTTAGGATGAGTTCAGGAGCTGAAGGCCCATTGCCTCTTCCCTTCTTTGCTGTTTTGTCACGTTCCACTAGCAGGGACTTTGATGATCTAAGCCTGAAGTTCTGAGAGTACAACAGGCATGGCTTACTTTAGGAGTCCATTGTTCCCGTTTCTCACAGACTGTGGTTTCGGCTTTAAACTTAACATAATTCAAACTCAGGTCACATTTGGGAGCCTTTAATATGGTACAAGCTTCTTTAAAGATTTAATAGTCTATTTGTAGAATTAGTATATACATACAAAGTGCTGTTTCAACCTTAATAATACAGATAAATATCTAGAGCTACTAGAAACGGCCCAGCACAAGCTTTGGGCTGGGCCACATTCCTAAAGGCCCAGCACGAGCTTTGAGCTGGGCCACATTCCTTAGGAATTGGTTTGGGTTATAATTAAGAGTTTCTATAGTGTAGGTAGAATTAGCGTAAAATAGAGAGGAATTGGGATTTAGGTTGGTTATTAGGTGTTGCGTATGCATAGGCCTGTAATCCCGCGCCTTTGGGAGGCTGAGGTGAGTGGATTGCCTGAGCCCGCGGGTTCGAGACCCACCTGGGCAGTGAGACCTCATCTCTACAATAAATCAAAAAAATCAGCCAGGCGTGGTAGCGCGTGCCTGTAATTCCGGCTACTCGGAAGGCTGAGGCGGAAGGATCGCCAGAGCCCAGCAGGTCGAGGCTGCGGTGGTCGGAAGCAGCCACTGCACTCCAGTCTGGGCGACTGAGTGAGACTCCAACTCAAAAAATAAATAAATAAAAATAAATAAAAGATATTAATTATTAGAATATTATGATATTAGAATTGTTGTACTTTTTTTGAGAAATATTAACCAAGCATGAGGAACAGTATCCTCATTCCTCATGCTTGGGGAAACACCTGGTGGGTGGGGGATGCCCCTCATCCACCTGGTTCTATGTTCATGTAAATGTCTTGTGATTTAATTGGGATTGCCCTTCCTCTTACTCCAGGAAACACCTGGTGGGTGAGGGATGCCCCCTCATTCACCTGGCTTTGTGTCCATGTAAAGGTTTTGTGATTTAATTGAGATTGTTCTTCCTCATGCCCGAGGAAACACCTGGTGGGTGGGTGGGGGGCGCCCCTCCTGCACCTGACTTGTGTTCACGTGGAAGACTTGTAAGACTGCCTGTGTAAAATTTGGGATAAATACAAGCTGTAAACCCCCAATAAACGGCTTCTGGTCAATCTGTTGAACAGATGTCCACTTTCTTTCTTTCTCTTTATATCTATCCCTCCTTCTTTCTTTCTTTTAATATCTATCCTTATAGAAACGCCGACGCCATCACACCTTCCAAGGGACCCCCTAAATCTCTTTTTGGGAGCTGACCCCCCAAAGTTGGGAACATTTCAAATTGTCTAGTTATTTTGAAATGTACAATATGAGAAGGGACCAAAAAATAGGAATTTATTTATTACAAATTGTGTATTTATTTTTATTTTTAAAAATTTTTATTTGTTTTGAGTAGGAATCTTGCTTTGTTGCTCAGACTGGAGGGAAGTGGCATGCTCATGGCCACCGTGGCCTTGACCTGCTGGGCTTAGGCGATCCTTCCACCTCAGCCTTCCAAGTAGCTGGAACTATAGGCATGTGCCCCTATACCCAGCTAATTTTTTTTTAAATGTATTGTAGAGATGATGTCTGGGCTGGTCTCGAACTCATGGGCTCAGGCAATCCTCTCACCTCAGCCTCCCAAAGTGCTGGGATGATAGGCATGAGCCACTGCACTCGGCCATGTGTATTTAGTCTTATATGTTTAAATTTCAGTCACCTACACAATACTCTCCATTTGATGCAATACACCTATCCAGATGCTGTTTTCACTGCTCAAAACAGTTTTTTAACTCGTCAGTTTTGATGACTTTTAGTGCTTCTGCTGTTTTTTGTTTTATCTCTTCCACATCGGCCAAACATTTCCTTGAGGACTGTTTTCATCCGGGGAAACAACAACAAAAAACACTTGATTGGGTGAATAGGGAGGGTGGAGCCTGGGACTCATGCCATTTTTGGCCAAAAGCTGCTGAACACTCAGCATGGTGTGAGCAGATGTGTTGTCATGGTGGAAGAACCAATCAGTCACCTGTTTGCCACAACTTGGAATGTTTCTTCTACAAATTGTGATGCAACCTTCTCAAAACTTCCAGATAAAAACTTTGGTTGGCCGTTTGATCTGGAGGAACAAACTCCAAGTGTACTAGGAGGGGCCTGCCCTCCAAAAGATAATTCCAGTTTTTTGGACGTCTCCCCTGGTGTATTGTTAACTGTAGCCATCCTACTATGCCATCCAACACTGGAATGTGCTCCGTCTTTACAACTGTATGGTTGTGCATCCTTCCTCCTCTCACCCCATTCCCCACCTTTGGTAACCATCTACTGTCTGTGTTCTTGAGATAATTTTTTAGCTTCCATGTCTTTCTGTGTATGCAGATGCCTAACTTTAACTTTTAATATGTTTTTTAAAAATAGTGGAGTAGCAAAAAAGTTGCTGTTAAATTGGGTATCTAAGGGAATACATACTTTTGGAGTAGCTATATTTGCCATCGTTTTATGTGTATGTGTATTCATGCATGAATAAGATTTTTTTCAGATGAGTTTATTTTCTTGTCCTTAGAATGAGAGCTGAGAAGAATGAATGGGTGATTTCTGTTGGGTGTCTGTTGTGTTATTAATATGTGCTCAGTAAATGGTAAAATTTTGATTGCAACTCCGCCATCCCACTTCCCCTCACCCCTGCACCTTGTTGTCCAGGGTGTCCCCTAGTGCCAGAGGACCCTAGTGGAGGGTAAGGGCTCCAGTGGAGGATGCAAGGGCAAGGACAAAATCAACTGGCTGAGGATGCCCAGCCTACGGAGTCTGAGAAGGAAATGTGTGATCAGGGTAATGAAGTATTAAAAGATGCAGAAGGCATCTTGGAGGACTTGCAGTCATATAGAGGAGCTGGCCTTGAAATATGATCAGATGTCAGTTCTTATCCCTCAGTTCAAAACGTTAATCATAATGGCAAATCACTTTATTGAAATAAAGTTCATTTTCAACTACATGCCTGGTCCTTAAGAAATTGCAGTAAGAAATCAAACTAGCCAGTCATGGTAGCGCATACCTGTAATCCCAGCTACTCAGGAGGCCGAGGTAGAAGTTTGGTAGCTTGATGTCAGAAGTTCGAGGCCACCCTGGGCAACATATCAAGACTCTGTCTTCACTTAAAAAAACAAAAACAAACAAAAAAACCTGATGTGTGTATACATGTTCATGTTTAAAAGCAGTTTTCCCTTTTCAAAAACAAATATTTGATGTCTATTGCCATTTATTTCATAATCTTTTATATTTTTTTCTTTAAAATTAGTTTTGTTTGTTTGTTTTTGAGTTGGGAATCTCACTCTGTTGCTCAGGCTAGAGTGCAGTGGTAGAATCATGGCTCACCACAGCCAACTTCCTGGTCTAAGGCAATCCTTCCACCTCAGCCTGATGCATAGCTGGGACTACCAATGCACACCACCATGCCCAGCTAATTAAAAAAAAAATTTTTTGCTACTATAAATAACCTTGAGATAAACTGCATTATGTACATCTTTGATCATCTCTTTGGGATAAAATTTACAGGAGAGAAATAACTGGGTCAGAAGCTGTGACACTTGACAGGTTCTTGTCAGATATTGACATGTTGAAAGATTTTTCTCTGTGAAAGGATAATATATAATTTTTTCCCCAAGGAACATATGCATGATAAACATACAATCAAAGCTGTAGAACAGCAGCAGCAAGAGGAGGAAGATGAAAAGATTAGAAAATTTATCAAAGCAAAAAAGCGTCTTATACAAATGGGGAAAGAAAAAGAAGCTGAAACACACAGGTAGGCTTTTAAAATCATTTGTGTAATTAATAAAGTATATCTGAAATTATCTTACTACAATTCAGAAGTTGCGATATGAGAGTGGTCTTTAGGAATAAAAGTCTTATTATTTTATATATGACTAGAGCATTTGGTGACTTGACGATTTCAGTTTGGGACATGTGAGTTGAGGTACCCTTGACTATATGGGACATCATCTGGTAGATGGTCAGAAATACTGGTCTGCTGTATGAGGGGGATGTGAGCTGGAGATGGCTTTGTGAGCCATGGGTCTGTAAGTGGTAGCTGGAGCTGTGAATACAGGTGAACTCACATTGGATAAGTGAGTTAGAAATGAAGGTGGCATAGTCCTGAGAGAACTCCATATCTGAGGGTCAGATGGAGAAAGAAGATAATGTGAAGATCAAACAATAGTTTCCAGAGATTGGAAGAAAACCAGAGAAACATTAAGGGAACAAAGTTTTAGTAAGAAGGAGCACTCATCAGTATTAAATCAACAGAGGGATTAAATAAGATTTTTTAAACGAAGTGTCTATCAGATTTAGAGGACATTGCTTACCTTAGTCAGCAGTTTGAGATGGGGTGGAGAGAGAAAAATAGGAGGCCATATCGCAGTACAGGGTGTTTCTGTCTAGGCGGTGCTTTTTCCTTGTGCAAAATCCTCTGGTGTATCCTTCACCTCACTTAGAGTCTTTGCAGTGGCGATACAGCTCTACACCTACCCAAATCCCCAAACTTCAGATGACCTCAGCCTCATCTTAGACCTCTTCTCTTACTATTCTCTCCCCTCCCTCTTTACCTACAGTGGACTTCCCCTATAACTTCTCTAGGGAATTCTCACTCTGAAGAACGTATAACCTTTTCTTTTGCCTCTTTCAGATCTTTACTTAATTTAAATTATCTTTTCGTTGAAGCTTTCTCTACCTTATTTATTTTTCCACCTTATTTAAGAGTACAGCCCTCCCCAGTTGTTTGGTATATAGCACCATATATTTTAATTATTTATCTTGTTTACTGTCCCTCTCCCCCAGTAATAAGAAAAGCTACATAAGGGCAGAGATTTTTATTTTATTTCTTTATTTTATATTTTTAGACACAAGGTCTTGGTTTGTTGCTCAGACTGGAGAGCAGTGGATATTTAAAGGCGTAGTCATAGGGCCCTGCAGCCTCAAGCGGCCCTGCAGCCTCAAGCGGCCCTCCTGCCTCAGCCTCCCTAGTAATGGAACTACAGGCACTGCCACCATGCCTGACTTTTTGTTCACTGTTATGTTCCCGGCACCTGGAAGAGTGTCAGGCACATAATAAGCAGTCGATGAAAGTCAATAAAAAGTACTTTTGTTTTTTAAAATCCTAGCTGAAATGTCACCTTTTCTATGAACACTTTTTTTTTCTTGTCTACATCACTTTCTAGCTTCCTCATGGCATTTATAACCCTTTGCCTTGTATAGTTTTTACATAGATTTTTCTCCATTGTATACTGTAATTTCCTTGAGATATGCACTGCATCTTTTTTTTAAATCATTTTTACATATTACTTTGCAAATTCACTTAGTAAATTAGTGAATTTGTCACAACTAAAGTATTTTTTGCCCAATTTTCTAAATAAAATGCCCTCATTGCTTTAACAAAAGGTACTTCTTGTTCTGATGTATAGACACATGCTTGGCCCTGGACTAGAGAGTGGGATCATTCCAATCCTTGACCTTAGAAATCTCATAGTGTGAAGGGAGAGAGACATATAAACAGATCAAGTCAACAAAATGCTATGAGTAAATTCTAGATAGGGGATTGTGGAGGGATACATATTCAGCATTTTGATAACTTTGATTAGATATTTTCTTGTTTTTATTTAAAGAAAGTTCTTGATAGGCTAGGCCTCCAATGTTTGAATAAGTAGGGTATTCTGGTAATATATTTTAAAATACTTTTCAATGTAGAGAATTATAACATCTTATTTCTTACACACTCAGAGGATTATATTATATGTATTTTACATATTAGTCTCTTTGGATTTTTAGAATATATGCTACTGTACAAAATAATTTCCACTTAATCAATGTATATAAGGAGCTATGCAGTTCCTTCTAGTTTTGTAAAAGACTAAATTATCTCAGACTTCTTAATTAAGTTATTTTGGTTCCATTGCAAATTTGTTCATTATTTGACATGTATGGTTGTTTTGTTATAGGCTAATGGAGGAACGAAGAGAAAGAATAAATAACTTCCTGAGTGAACTAATGAAAGAGAAACTTGACAATGAAGATTTGATTATTGCTAGAGATATTGCAGAAGCTGAGGCTGAATGGGAAAAAAGAGAAAAAGAAAAAAATGAAAAAAACAAAACAGAATTAAAAGCAATTGCAGAATATAGATCCATTGTGGTAAACAATTCAGTTCATATTTATTTATGAAAATAAAAATACACCGGGCTCAGTGGCTTAGCCTCTAATCCCGCGCCTTTGGGAGGCTGAGGTGAGTGAATTGCCTGAGCGCGTGGGTTCGAGACCCACCTGGGCAGTGAGACCTCATCTCTACAATAAATCAAAAAATCAGCCAGGCGTGGTAGCGCGTGCCTGTAATTCCGGCTACTCGGAAGGCTGAGGCGGAAGGATCGCCGGAGCCCCGCAGGTCGAGACTGCGGTGGCCGGGAAGGGCCACTGCACTCCAGTCTGGGTGACAGAGTGAGACTCCAACTCAAAAAAAAAAAAAAAAAGAAAAGAAAAATACAAAGACAAATTTAAGACCTTTCCACAGTTCTCTGACCAAAAACTAGCAGAGATGTAAAAAATAATGTATGAATCATTTTTCTACATTTTTGAAGTCAAACAATGTTTACTTTCTAACAGATTACATGGCAATCAAATACAAATAATATATTTATAGATGCAAAGTAATCTTTATTTCAGAAGCATGTGAAATGCAAAGATTGTTATTCATTTAGTATATTTTTCATTTGAATTTTTTTAAGACAAATCAAGTAAAAATTACCCTTTGACATTTCTGTATGTCTTAATTTTTCAAAATTCATCTTCTGTATAACTGATTGTTATAGCATTTCAATTGGGTAGTTTATAAACATTGTAGCAATTAATTTTTAAATTACAAACATTTCCCTATCTTAAGAAGATCATGCTTCTTTGTTCCTGTATTTTCTTTTTCAAACCAATAAAAATTGTCTGTACCACTTGGGTGTTTCCTGATATTCAGGAAATAGAACAAAACCAAAGTAAACCGGCCCCACAGATTCATATAACTTTCTGCTCCTGCACTGGGCCTGACTGACTCTCTGCTTGGAGCTTTCTTAACTCTGTGCCATTTGAGACAGGATTAGTTTCTAAAATTGGTTTTAATTTGTTTCCTTTGCCTTTAAACATTTAGATGAAAAATAAAGAGGAAGAAGAAAGACAAAGACAAGTAGAGGGTAAAGAACAATTGCTGGCTGTCATGAAAGCAGATCAGATTTTCTGGGAACATGAAAAGGAGAAAAAACGCAAAGCTGATAAAGAACGCCGAGAAGTTCAAGATGCCCATATTCAGCAAATGGTAATTGTTCCTGAACGTTTATACTTACTTGAACAATAAATAGATAATACAGAATCTATGCTAGTTTTCTGTCTTGCAAGCAATTTTTTTTGTCAGATAAGAACAAATGGTCATTGTGGTTATGACACAATCACATATATCAATATGGGGGTCTGTTTTTATACCAATACTATACTGCTTCAGTTATTTGTAGTATATTTTGAAGTCAGATAGTATGATGCCTCCAGCTTTGTTCTTTTTGCTCAGGATTACTTTGGCTATTTTGTATTCTTTTTTAGTTTCATACAAATTTTAGAATTATTTTTTCTATTTCTGTGAAGAATGTGTATTTTGGTAGGTGTTTGCATTCAATCTGTAGATTGCTTTGATATTTGTTGATTCAGTTTTCATGATTTGTGTCTTTTAAGGAATTTGTCAATTTCACTTAAGTTGTTAAATTTTTTAAAATAAAGTTGTTTATGATATTTTAAATTATCAATTTATTGTCTTTAGATTCTGTAGTGATATCCTCTTTTTTAGTTCTAATTTTGGTTGTGTTTTCTTTGTTAATAACTGAACATTTATTAATTTTATTTATCTTTTCAAAGAACTAGATTTTTTTTTTTTTACTGTTTGCCTATTTCCTATTTCATTGATTTTTATTGTGATGCTTACTGGATTTTTCCTTCTGTATAGTCTTTTTATTTATAAAGTATTAAGGAAGAAGCTTTGGTAAATTTTGGGAGGAACCTTTTTTTCTTTTCTTTTCTTTTTTTTTTTTTGAGTCAGAGTCTCACTCTGTCACCCAGGCTGGAGTGCAGTGGCATGCTCACACAGCCTCGATCTGCTGGGCTCAGGTGATCTTTCCACCTCAGCTTTCCTTTTCTTTCTTTTTTTGAGTTGGAGTCTCACTCTGTCGCCCAGACTTTAGTGCAGTGGCCGCTCCGGGTCACCGCAACCTCGACCTGCTGGGCTCCGGCGATCCTTCCGCCTCAGCCTACCAAGTAGCCAGAACTAGAAGCGCGCTGCCACGCCCGGCTAATTTTTGATTTATTGTAGAAATGAGGTCTCGCCAAGTTTCCTAGGCGGGTCTCAAACCCGCGGGCTCAGGCAATCCACTCATCTCGGCCTCCCAAAGCGGGGGATTACAGGCTGAGCCACCGAGCCCGGCTTCGGCTTTCCCAATTGCTGGAACTACAGGCAGAGGCTACTATGCTGGGCTAATTTTTTTTTTTTGAGTTGAAGTCTCACTCCATCACCCAGGCTTGAGTGCAGTGGCACGATCATGGCCACCCAACCTCGACCTGCTGGGCTGTGGCGATCCTTCCGGCTCAAGCCTCCAAGTAGCTGGAGCTCCAGGTCTATGCCACTATGCCTAGCTATGTTTTTCTTTTCTTTTCTTTCTTTTTTTTTTTTTGAGTTGGAGTCTCACTCTGTCACCCAGACTGGAGTGCAGTGGCCGCTCCCGGCCACCGCAGCCTCGACCTGCTGGGCTCCGCGATCCTTCCGCCTCAGCCTTCCGAGTAGCTGGAACTACAGGCGCTGAGCCACCGAACCAGGCTTCTTTTTTTCTTTCTAATATAAGTATTTTACACTATACATTTCCTCTCAGATCTGCTTTCTAGCACCTAAAGTTTTGATATGTTGTATTTTTATATTTATTCATTTGAAGATTTTTTTTTCTTCTTGTGATTTATTCTTTGACCGGTGAATGTATTTCTAAATATGTTGATTTCCACAGATTGGGGATTTCCCATATATTTTTCCTTTGATTTATTTCTAATTAATTTTGTAATAGTTAGGGAATAGTCTTTGTCTGACTTTGCTCATTTTAAATTTACGGAGTCTCATATTATGATCCAGCATATGATCTGTGTGGTGAATTTTTCGTGTATCCTTGAAAAGAATATGTATTCTGTTGTTTTGTCCTATAGATGTCAATTAGATCAAGTTGGTTGACAATATTATTTTCATCTTCTCTATCTTTATAGATTTTCTGTTTGTTCTATCATTTACTGAAATTACCAACTGAAATTATTGAATTACCTATTTATTCTTTTCTGTTATTTTCTTTTTTCTGTCAAGTTTTGGTTCATGTATTTTGGAACTCTGTTGTTAGGTACTTACACATTCATAATAGTTTGTCTTCCTGCTATATTGATTCTTTATGTCTTTATGAAATGTCCCTCTCTGCAGAAATATTCCTTGATTTTTGGGTGGGGAGGGAACAGATTGCCAATAGGTAGAATTTTATTGCAAATGTAAATGAGATTTATTTTTTATTGTACTAGAATATACATAACAAAAAATAAAATCTACCATTTTAACAATTTTTAACTCTACAGTTCTGTGGGATTATTTCTTGTTTTGATTTTTTTTTGCATATTAATATAGCCACTACAGCTTTTGCATGATTTTTGTTTGCATGGCATATATTTTTACTTTTTACTTGTAATCTATTTGTGTTTTGAATTGAAAGCACATCTTTTGTTGACAGTATGCAGTTAGAGCTTTCATTATGTAATTTGACAATCTCTGCCTTTTTTTGGAGTATTCAGTCTAGTCCCATTTAATGCAATTATTGATATGATTGGATTTAGTTATATCATTTTATGATTTGTATTCTATCTCAGCTCTTTTGGTTTCATCTTTTTTTTTTTTAAGAGCAGAACCTGCTGGGCTCCGGCGATCCTTCCGCCTCAGCCTTTCAAGTAGCTGGAACTACAGGCGCGTGACACCATGCCTGGCTGATTTTTTGATTTATTGTAGAGATGAGGTCTCATTGCCCAGGCGGGTCTCGAACCCGCGGGCTCAGGCAATCCTCTCACCTCAGCCTCCCAAAGGCGTGGGATTACAGGCTGAGCCACCGAGCCCTGCTTCCATTATTCTTTACTACTACTTCTGGATCCAAGTTACCATATTGTGTCATTTCTCTTCAGCCTGAAGACTTCCTCAAGCATGTCTTGTAACACAGGTGTGCTAGTTATACAGTTTTCCAGAAAAATTTATTTTGCTTTTATCTTATTAGATATAAAATTATTGGATATTATTTTTTTGCAGGCCTTTGTTTAGGCTATTCCAGTGTCTTCTGGCTTTCATTGTTTATGATGAGAAAAACACTGTTAATCATATTTTTGGTCCCGTATGTATAATGTTTCATTTTTTAATCTTCCTAATTTCAAGATTTTATTTTTGGCTTTCAGTAGATTGTGATGTGTGTGTGTGTGTGTGTGTGTGTGTGTGTGTGTGTGTGTATCCTACTTGGGATGTTTGGTGCCTCTTGGATTTGCAAGTTAGTATCACCAAATGTGGGAAGTTTTTGGCCATTATGTCTTCAAATATTTTTTCTTGCCTCCCTTTTTATCTTCAGTGACCCAATTTACAATTACATAGGGACATTTGATATTGTATCACAGATCTCAGGGGCTCTACTCATTTTTACCAAGAAGTTTCTTTCTATTCTTCAGATGGAACAACATTTCTATTAATCTGCTTTCAAACTCACTGATTCTGATGTTGAACTCTAGTGAATTTTTTATTCCAGTTATTGAACTTTTAAACTCTACAATTTTATTTGTTCTTTTTATAGTTTCTGTTTCTCTGTTTAGATTACCTATTTGTTCACTCATTTTGAGCATATTTTCCTTTAATTCATTGGATATATTTATAATAGGTGATTTGAAATCTGATTGCTAAATTCAGTGCCTGGTTCTACTCTGAGTTCATTTCTGTTGAATTTTTTGTTGTTGTTGTTCCCCTTAGAATGAGGTAACACTTTCCGTTTCTTTGTGGTCTAGTAATTTCTGGTTGAAAACCTGACATTGTCAAGAATATGTTGTAGTAATTCCAGCTTCCATTTGTTCTAAGAGTTTTTGCTTTTAGTTTTAGTATGGAATTGCTTTTCCTGAACTCAAGCTACAAAATCTGCCTTTACTACAATACAATGTCTCTGGTCAGTTTTATTTTTTTAAAAGCCTGACTCCCTAGTGTTCTTTACTGCTCCTGCATAGTTTGGCAACCGACTAACAATGTAGGCAGAGTTTACTTTCAGACACCTTAAACCAGTAATGCTTTTTTTTTTTTTTAAAGACGTGTGTGGCTTGAGGAAGGTATTTAAAAGAATAGCAAATTTACAATTTTCTCCAGGTGTTTAGTTTTTGCCAGTCTGTGGCATTCCTTTGTGGAGGGCATTACTATTCTTCCAGCTAATATGGTGAAAACCTTGAAATTTACTGGACAATTATGGTAGATTCCATTTGGATTGGCAAAACAGCTGGAAATTTAAGGATGAGACTCTGGAAGTGAAATAGTTAAAGAAGGGGTGAGATAATAAACTCTACAGACCAATTGCTGAACTACACAATCACACAGGAGACCCCAGTGGCACACTCATGGCCACCCCAGCATCAACCTGCTAGGCTCCGGCAATCCTTCCACCTCAGCCTTCCAAGTAGCCAGAACTACAGGCACGCACTACCACACCTGGCTAATTGTTTATTTTATTTATTATAGAGATGAGGTCTCACCAAATTACCCAGGCTGGTTTCGAACTCGCAGACTCAGGCAATCTGCTCACCGCAGCCTCCCAAAGTGCTGAGATTGCAGGCTGAGCCACTCAGCCTGGTTCCCCATATTATTTAAAAGTAAAACCCAGACATCATATCATTTTATCCAATGTATATATATTTCAGTATGTATTTCTAAAAGTAAGGGACTCCCTAGAAATTAACATAGCCATAATTCTACTATCACATAGAAAACAACTAACATCCAGTGTTTAAATTTTCCTCACAATGTCTCATGAATATTTTAAAATGTTTGTTTCAATCAGAATCACATAAGGTCAATATATTCCATTTTGAATCCTTCTGATTTTCCAGTCTATCATGTTCAACAATGTGGTTTCCCGGAGGTACAATTTTTAAAGAAAAGACAGGATAATACTTGATTTTTATTTTTTTGCTTTATTTTTCAGTTTCCAGAATAACTAATTAGCTCTAGTATCTTCCACAGGTGTGCGTTACTTTACTTTCACCTCTGAGCATTTTTAGGAATTGAAACCAATTTTTAGAACTTTGTTTTTTAAATTTGTATTTATGCTTTATGCACATCAAATCTGAGGCACCAACCTGTGATCCATTATAGTAATTCTTTCCTTCCACTGTCACTTCTTTTCTGTGCTTCAAATGGTTCTCTCTGTTCCCTCAATATCTTTCTACAACTGTTACTAACATATCCCATTTGCTTTGTTAATTTCCCATCTTTCAACATTTCACCTCTGATGAGAGATTTTAGCCTTTTTAAATTTCTTTTCCAGTATTCTTGGATGTCATTTTTTTTTTTAAAGTTTTTTTATTTGCTGAGTCAGATTCTCACTCTGTCTCTCATGCTGGAGTGCAGTGGCATACTTTCGGTTGCCACAGGCTCAATGTGCTGAGTTCAGGCAATCCTTCTACCCAAGCCTTCTAAGTAGCTGGAACTACAGGTGCGCACCACCATGCCCATCTAGTTTTTTTTATTTATTGTAGAGATGAAATCTCATCAAGTTTCCCAGGCTAGTCTTGAACCCCTGAGCTCAGTCATCTTGCTTCTGCCTCCCGAAGTACTGGAATTACAGGCGTGAGCCGCTATATGGGCTATTTTTTATTTTTTAAACTCTGGCATTCTACCACCAATTCCACAAATAGCACATAGGTCTTAATTTTGAATTGTAGCACTTAGTAATAACAAACTTGATTTTCACATTCATATGATTGCTCTATTCCCTCAGAAATTTCAATTTATGGTTGTCATAAGATTTGGGCTACAGTTTTATCCAAAAGTTTCAGATTTTGAAAAAATGTCTAATGAATATTAAATATATCCCTAAGTAGATAAAATGTTATTTTTTGACAAACTTAGCATTGCTTAAAATGCCATAGAGAACACGAAATGTAAAGTTGCTAACCAGAACTTCACAGAAAAGCCATAAAAATCATCTTATACAATATAAATTAATAGAAACTGTTAAAAAACAAAAAAAATTTATAAAATACTGCTAACTTGACTTTTGGAAAATTGCCTACAGTACTTATTCCACTGGGTTCCTGATTAACCTACATTGATTGACAGTCACTCATTGTTTCAACTTCAAACTTTTGGGAAACAGAGAATGTAATCGGTTTACTTCAGATATGTACTGTTGGTTTAATCTTTTTGGGTTTTTTTTGAGTTGGAGTCTCACTCTGTCGCCCAGACTGGAGTGCAGTGGCCGCTCCCAGCCACCGCAGCCTCGACATGCTGGGCTCCGGCGATCCTTCCGCCTCAGCCTTCCAAGTAGCCGGAATTACAGGCATGCGCTGCCACGCCCGGCTGATTTTTTGATTTATTGTAGAGATCAGGTCTCGCTGCCCAGGCGGGTCTCGAACCCGCGGGCTCAGGCAATCCACTCACCTCAGCCTCCCAAAGGCGCGGGATTACAGGCTGAGCCACCGAGCCCGGCTTGATTTAATCTTATGTGGCTGTGGCATGTGGTATATAGTGCCAATCCAAGATGGTAGAGTTTAGTGAGTTCCTTCAGAATAGTGCATGGGTAGGGACAATAAGTGTTATGCATTCTAAACTGCCCAGATTCACATCTTATAAATGGTTTAAACAAGATTCTAAACTCAGTTACCTGACTTTTCTCGAAATTTCATGCTTTTCATTATTTTGCTCTTAGTTTCTTTGAAAAAGTATAACATAAGACTATTAATAAAGGTAAGTTTCATTGAACCAATACTCTGAGCACACTATTCTGAGAAGCATCAGAGAATTTCTAAAATCAATGACAGTATATAGTTGTCAAATCAGAATTTGTAAAATGTCAACAAATTTAGAAAAATTATACCTACATCTTCAAATGCTACATATATTTGGAAAGTTGATGTTCTTAACCAATATCAAATTGTATTTTCTTTCTTTCCCGCATAGGCCAAAAATAAGTTTAACGCGAAGCAAGCAAAACAAGCAGAATTAGATTATTGCAGACTTACTGAGGCTCTTGTGGCTGAAAAGGAGAAAGAATTTCGAGATTATGCCAGAGAAGTAATTGAACTTGAAACTGAAACAAATAAACACATTTATCCTCTGGTAAAAGCTGTACATGAAGGACCTGGAGGTGGTCGTGGACCAGTGTTTGTGGACAGAGGTGGATTAAGACCCAGCTATCAGTCAAATGATGCCACTGGAGTTCAGCTCCCTTTTTATAGCACTCAGGGATCAAAATATAATAATTTTCAAAAGTCTAAGAGAAGGCTAGGTTTTACATGGTAGAAACAATATTTTTAATTTTAAGATTGAGAAAATGAAGTGGCAAATATGAGCTACAGATGTAAATGAATTATATACTTATATGATTTCTGTTAATAAAGCTATTCTTCATCTAAGTACAATTAAGTCTGATTTATTGATCAGAATATTTCCATTGGGTATACATAAAGCCCCAAGGTTAATTGACTGAGATTTCCTTTTGTTTATTGTGTAAAATATATACACAATGTAAAAATTTTAAAATGTACATCCAGTGGCATTAAGTACATTCACAATATTATGCAGCCATGACCATTATCTAGTTCCAGAATTTTTTGGTGCCCCAAATGCAAACACTGTATCCAGTAAGTGGTCACTTCCCATTCCCCTCACCCACAGTCCCTGGTAATCACTAATCTGCTTTGTCTTTATGGGTTTGCATATACTGGGTATTCATTTAAGCGGAATCATACTGTGTGGCCTTTTGTGTCTGGCTTTTTTCACTCAGCATATTTTCAAGGTTAATCTATGTTGTACCATGTATCAGTACCCCATTTCTTTTTGTAGGTGAATAATATTCTACTGGGTATCTTTCTTGTCTCCAGCAGAAATTCATATGCTTGCTTTGCCCTTCAGTAGTTATGTATTAATATCAAATAACATTACCAGTATTATTGCTAATATGGGAGTAATATATGAATGAATGTAACTTAGTTCTTTGTGGTTTAGGGTGTATCTCACTAGACATGTACAAATTGTCATGTATTGAAGTCACTTAAAATAATTCTACATGTAGTTTTGCCAACATGAGACACAGGTTCATCATGCTTTTATGAATCACATCCCCCATTCCTTTACTTGTTTCGTTTTTATGGTTGTAAAAAACACAGAACATAAAATGTACCATCGTAACTATTTCTAGCCGGGCTCGGTGGCTCAGCCTGTAATCCCATGCCTTGGGAGGCTGAGGTGAGTGGATTGCCTGAGCCCGCGGGTTCGAGACCCGCCTGGGCAACTTGGCGAGACCTCATCTCTACAATAAATCAGAAAATCAGCCGGGTGTGGTAATGTGCGCCTGTAGTTCCAGCTACTTGGAAGGCTGAGGCGGAAGGATCGCCAGAGCCCAACGGCTGGAGGAGCAGCCACTGCACTCCAGTCTGGGTGACAGAGTGAGACTCCAACTCAAAATAAATAAATAAATAAATAAATAAATATTTCTTAGTATATAGTCTAGTAGTGTTAGGTATGGTCACACTGTCGAGTCATCTGCAGAATTTTGTCACCTTGTGCAATTGTCAAACAGCTCGTTTCCTCAACTACTGGGGAAGCACCATTCTACTTTGTTTCTATGAATTTGACCACTGTAATATATGTCCTTTGTGGTCTATTCCACGTAGCATAATGTCTTCAAGGTTCTTCCATGTTGTAGCGTGTCAGTTTTCTTTCTTTTTTTTTTTTCTGAGTCGGAGTCTCACTCTGTCGCCCAGACTGGAGTGCACCGGCCGTGCCCAGCCACCACAGCCTCGACCTGCTGGGCTCCGGCGATGCTTCCGCCTCAGCCTTCCCAGTAGCCAGAATTACAGGCATGTGCTACCACACTTGGCTGATTTTTTGATTTATTGTAGAGATCAGGTCTCGCCTGCCCAGGCGGGTCTCGAACCCGCGGGCTCAGGCAATCCACTCACCTCCCTCCCAAAGGCGCGGGATAACAGGCTAAGCCACCGAGCGCGGCAGTTTTCTTTCTTTTTAAGGCTGAATAATATTCCATAGTATGTATATATATCCTATTTTGTTTGTTCATCCCTTCATGAATGGACATTGGGTTGTTTCCACCTCCTGGCTATTGCAAATGCTGCTGCTATGAACATGGATGTTTAAGTAACTCTTTAGGATCATTCCAGTTCTTTGGGATATGTAGCCAGAAGTAGAATTGCTGAATCACATAGTTCTATCTTACATTTTTAGAAACTGGTATACTGTTGTCCATAGCTGCCACATTTTACATTCCCAACACTAGGGTTTACGCCCTCACCGACACTCTTTGTAAAATTCTAAAGATGTGGGGTCCAATTCAGGATTAGGTAGGTATACAAGTGGTCATCGTACAGGTAAAGTTTGGGGCTCCCTTTGGTCCCCACTTTGGCTTGAGATCAGGTAACCTTATTTGTGCCCCCCCCTTCAGCAGTATCCTACTGCTGCCAATCCCTTTCTTATATAGTATTATGGTAAATGTTTAGGGTCCACTTATGAGAGCATGTGACATATATATTGTGTGTGTATGTGTGGTAGCCATTCTAAGTGGTTTTGAGGTGATACCTCATTGTGGTTTTGATGTGCATTCCCTAATGGTTAGTGACTATGAGCATTTTTTCATCTGCTTCTTGGCTGTTTACCACCATCTTTGCAGAAATGTCTATTCAAATCTTGCTCACTTTTTCCATCAGTCTTGTTGTTGAGTTGTAGCTTGTAATATATTCTGGATATTGACCCCTTAACACATATATGATTTACAAGTATTTTCTCTTTCCTTAAGTTGCCTTTCACTGTTGTCCTTTGCTTGTTCTCTTTAAAAGCAAATACGTATGTGTATTTACACAAATAACCTTGTTCTTTTAATATATTCTGGAGGTCAAAGCATAGCAGTATATAAAGACCCTCTTCCCAACGGGCATAGCATTCTGTTGCAAGATTGTACGTTTTTTCAGCCATGGCACACCAATAGATAGATGGGTGGTTTTCAGTCTCTTGCTATTACAAATTCTGCAATGAAGTTTTGTATCTATTCTGTTTCCATATTTTTGTCAGTACACCATTTAGATTCCTAAGCATGTGAATGCTGGCTAAAAGATGTAAATTGCTCAGCACATCATTATCTGAGACCAAGTCTTAGAGCAAAAATTATTGTCATCCTCTGGGAATCTGACAAAACGTAATGCCTCCTTCAGCAGTAAGATACACACAATTCTGCATATCATCTCAGGACGTCCACAACACCTTCTTACAGACTGCACATCACGGTGTCTCTCATCCATACCCAAGACTGATTAAGTGTATCTGGGATGAGGCTGGCCACCTATACTTTAAGAATACATGGCAGATTCTGTGGGCATAGCGCTTAGTCAATTTGGAGGTTTATGGGACCCAAATCTAAAAAAACAAACTATGCTTTAAAAGAATAAAGTAGCTGATGCTAAAGAACACTATACTGATTCTCAAATTGTGTGCCAGGGTTCCCAAGGGACCACAGCAAACTCGCAAAGACAGCTGGAAGGACATGTAAAAATTTTGAAACACATTTTACATCTATAGGATAGCTTGAGGTAGTTCAACATATTAAATACATCATGCCTTTTGATGATATTCTATCTTTGTAGAGTTGGGTTTTCAGTAGTTAATGAGATAAAACACAAGTACTGAGCAAAAATCAGTGTACTACAGTAAAGATAGTAGTGTCAAACATGATTCCAATGCTTGAGAAGTTGTGCAATGACCAATAGTTGCACACATCCTATTAGTGACTCAGGATTATGAAGGAAAATTTTTAAATATTTTTAAAACTTCAACTGGCCATTACTTATGATATACGTTAGCTATGTGAACTACACTATTTAACAAACAGAACTGTTAGGTATTTCTTTTGGCCTGGGGACCACACCATATTAAAATTACTGAGACACAAAGGTAAAGTGAACCAAGAAAGTCTGGGAACTTCTGTCATATATTCTTTCCTTTAAATTGTTTTAGAAAGTATGTTATTTAGTGGTGATAACTAACTTTAGACAGCTATCTTATCTCATATTCTAAAACAAATTTATACAAGATGGTTAACTACATACATTTGTTATACAACCCAACTTTGTTAAGGATAACAAAATGCCAGACATCTCACTAGTTTTTACTACTGGGCTAGATGCACTACTAGAGTTCAGTACATTAAAAACTAAGGAAAGGCTACATAAATGTTTTTAAGTTAATCGTAAAATAATTCAGTGAAAAGAACTGAGTAACAGCAGTAGACACACAACTGCTCTAATCCACTAATCTGATGAGAGAAACCTGTACACAAAATGTATATAGCAAAGATAAAAACTGGAACTAAAGCATTTTGAGTACTGTGACAGGGAAGGAGGTGCAAAAATTATAAATCAGTACTTAAAAACAAAAAGGTAATACTGTATTAGGTTAGAAAACAGGTTTAGGAAAGAAATCTAGAAAGTAAACAGAAAAACCAAACTGATTCTTAAAGGATTTTAATACACAACTTGGCAGTTCATATGTTGCACTCACATTTTACACATTTGCCTGGATAAACAAACACTCCAGATTTTCAGTTTAATAATATTCACCTGTTAACACATACAAACCACTGAATGTTCCGAATGTTTTCACCTGGGCATATATTTTCAATGATTCATTCTCAAGTTAACTAGGTGCATTTTTCCTAAATATGTCTAATTTAAGTAAAAATAATACCAAGCCCCAAAATTGAACAAGTTTTATTACAACAGTCAATTAACATTTATGACTTTACAACTATAAGTGTTTTGTATTAAAACTGACAACCACATGTTTATTACGGTGGTCATAAAGATGAGAAAATCTGGACTACTTAAAAAGAGGTAATATTTTCGTAGACAGTAATACAAATTCCAAGTTTAACCTTAAAAGTTTGCTGGGACAAAAGACACATTGCAATCTGAAGTATTATGATTAAATATTTAAACCAGAACTCATTCCCAAATCTGGAAATTGATACTGCCGGCTTGATTCTTCAAGGAGCTAGGTATTGTTAAACTTTTTGTTCAGTTTTCTCATAATACAAATAATTTTATATCTCTGTGGGTAAAAGTATGTTTTAATTAGTTTATCTTCATTATACAGCTTTTAATTTAAAAAGGGTGAATAATACAATTTAAAAAATACAAAACCAAACTGTTTATTATAGTATAGTTTATTTAATACAATTGTTTAACTATAAAAGTTAATACAGTTTTGAAGTTTAAGTTTTGTAAAATGCAGTTTGCAGAAAACAGTTCAACAATTACTAGACTAATGATAAGAGAAGCAGCATTTGAAACTAATTTTACAATTGAGAAGACAACAGCTTTATTTCTAAATTTCATTAAAAAAATATACATCACAGTGACTTTTTAGCTAGGAAAAGAAGTGCATTAACTTCATTTATGTTTTTTCCTTCCACAAAGAGAGCAGCCACAACTTTGTACATCCCCACATACAAATACCCAAGTCATTTCTCAATCTTTCAAAATACTATATACATAATACACAGAAAAGGGGAAGAAAATATACAGCATGTGCTTTTGGTAACTATGGAATTTGCTTAAAGAAGGAAAATAAAAAAGGCAGAAACACAAACCCCCAACCACTCGCTCCCCTCCAGTACCAAAAAACAAACAGAAAACCCTCAACCACTCTCTTCCCCATCCTTGCTGATGGAATTTTCTTATTCATGTCGT